TAATTTATATGTTCAATGATATATATATATATATTATATATATATATAACTGAAAACTCACACCCCAAAAGTGACTCGAACCCATACTGCCAGGAGCAACGCAACTGGTATGTACAGGGACGCCTTAATCCGCTTGACCATCACGACCGGACATAAGGAAGTGATAGCCGAAGCTATTTGAACCACTTCCCCGCCGGCACTCGGATGGTAATCTTGGGCATAGCATTTTATCAAATCACCTCATTCTTTGGGGCACACGTGAGGAACACAAATGCAAACAAGCCTGAATGGTCCCCAGGACTATATACAACTGAAAACTCACACCCCAGAAGTGACTCGAACCCATACTGCCAGGAGCAACGCAACTGGTATGTACAGGGACGCCTTAATCTGCTTGACCATCACGACCGGACATAAGGAAGTGATAGCCGAAGCTATTTGAACCACTTCCCCGCCGGCACTCGGATGGTAATCTTGGGCATAGCATTTTATCAAATCACCTCATTCTTTGGGGCACACGTGAGGAACACAAATGCAAACAAGCCTGAATGGTCCCCAGGACTATATACAACTGAAAACTCACACCCCAGAAGTGACTCGAACCCATACTGCCAGGAGCAACGCAACTGGTATGTACAGGGACGCCTTAATCCGCTTGACCATCACGACCGGACATAAGGAAGTGATATTCAGGCTTGTTTGCATTTGTGTTCCTCACGTGTGCCCCAAAGAATGAGGTGATTTGATAAAATGCTATGCCCAAGATTACCATCCGAGTGCCGGCGGGGAAGTGGTTCAAATAGCTTCGGCTATCACTTCCTTATGTCCGGTCGTGATGGTCAAGCGGATTAAGGCGTCCCTGTACATACCATTTGCGTTGCTCCTGGCAGTATGGGTTCGAGTCACTTCTGGGGTGTGAGTTTTCAGTTGTATATAGTCCTGGGGACCATTCAGGCTTGTTTGCATATATATATATATATATATATATATATATATATATATATATATATATATATATATATATATATATATATATATATAATATTCAATTTATATGAAGAGGTTTAGTCACCTCAACTGAAGTTTTTTCCGACACAAGGGACACTCATGATGATTTGTTTACCTCGAGAGTGTCTTTATGCTTGGAAAAAGATTACGCTGCTGCACTACAATATTAATAAACTTGCTGAAATATGAGGCGTTGCCTCACTCTATAACCGACAGACAGACTTATTGGATATATTAAAGTTAAACAAGCATACAATTGGCCAATTAATACACTTAATGGCATTCAATATACTTCTCTGAATACCGGGTGCCTGTCTGACGAGTGTGCCAGACTGGATAACTCTCTTGTCGAGTTTAACGCAGATGTCTTAAGGCCAGCTCAGCGTGGACAGAAACCTCTCAACTGTCAATCAACTGGTGTACAGATTCCTGAGCTGGTACATCAACTTGTGTACATCTTCTCTTTCCTCTGTGTCTTCCTTCACATGTTGTGTTAGGAAATTCCTGTCTATAACATCTACTAACTTTGCTCCCCCACGTTTCATCCCCTCCATGGGGATTCCTTGATTCCCAATTTATCTCTCCATGATTTAGGTCCCCCATGACTAGCAGCTTTGCTCTCATTCTGTGGGCTAATGTTACTGCCTTCTGCAGTTCATCTATACCTGCCTTGTTGTTGTCATCATACTCCTGCCTGGGTCTTCTACTATTTAGTGGGGGATTGTAGATTACAAAGATCACAATCTTCCTCCCATCTGCTGTCAGAGTTCCATGTATGAAGCGTGTGCTCTCGTTAGTAACCCGATTTCCCAGGTCTTCAAACTTCCATTTCTGCCTTATTAGGAGTGCCACTCCCCCTCCCTGTCTCTGTGACCTTTTCTTCTTATCACTTGGTACCCCTCTGGAAAGATTGCATCTGAGATCATATCATTTATTTTAGTTGTGCTATATACTATTGCAACTATGTCAGTATTCTTTTATCTCTTCTGCTTTATTAGATATCCCATCAGCATTGGTGTACCAAACCTTGAGATTCTTCATGGAAACTCTGGTACCAGAATTCGCCCTTTCTCTGGGGATCTGGGGGGTGACTGGGGATTGGGGGGGGGTGTCTGGGGGTGAATGGGGTCTGGAGGCGTTCCTGGGGGGGGCGAATGGGGGTTGGGCATTTAGGACGGTAGATAGGAACTGGAGTAGTAAGGGCATACTGGGTTTGAAGATTAGGGAGGGTCAGAGAGGCATAGAGGGGTTGAGAGGCAGCATAAGGTTGAGAGGTTGGGGGGTGAAGGATAGATGGGGTGGGGGGAAGAGGGGCGGATGAAACATGGATAGTGATAGGAGGAAGGAAGTTGTATTAGTCAAGGGAAACTCAGGGGTAGGTGTGGGCATTGGGGCAGGAGGGGAGGAAAGGGAAATGGAGGAAGAGGTGGGGGTCCCCCCACTGGTGGGGCCATGTGACCCCCTTGCAAGGGTAGGGGGTTACATGGAAGGAGAGGGGGTGAGGGCTGAGCAGGTTTTGGGGGTTGAGGGGATGAGGGCTGGGCGGGTGTTGGGGGCTTGAGGGGATGAGGGGATCCTTGGAATGTGGGATGAAGCAGATGGATTCAAATGCAATGGGGTCAGGGGAGGTGTTTGGGAGATACGCAGGGGCAGGGAGGGCTGATTTGGGGAGGGTGTGACCTGGGAAGCAGGTGTGGGTTAGCACTGGGGAGGGTAAGTACGCTCAAATTTGATGAGGTGTGTCGAGGACAGCTCGCCATGTGGGCTATTTGCTCATCTTTGGTCATGTATTTGTCAATATACACGTTGTAATAGTTTTTGCTACCTCTGAGTAAGTGCTTGTGTTGCAGTTTGTTGTCCACAGCCTTCTTGTTAGTGAACTGTACCAGGACAGGTCGTTTCTTGTTACAGTTGTACGCCCCAATGCGGCGATGTATCCCCCACCTCATTCCCTGCCATTTCCGCTCTGATATCTCTCAAGATCCCCTGTAACTCAAAATCTTCAATCTCCATCCTTTCCTGCCTCGATGCCTTGGCTTCAAGTAATCTATGGATTATGATTGACCTCCTCAGTGAAGGGTCGTGCTGGTCGCCTCCTCCCCTGGCTGACACCCACCCCACCCACACTCACTACTCCATTCCCCACCACTCCCCCTTCCCTTGTCATGCTACCCTTATTCCTGCCAAATTCAGTTGCAAGCCTAGTTATCTCACTTTCCCATGCCACTCTGCTGTTCTTGATTTCTTCTTGAGTATAGTCCATAAATTCTCGTTTTTGTCTTTAAACCTCATCCGTATCCTATTAAAAATTTCACTTTTAATCCCCTGGATTAGATCATCTATCCAAACATCCCTCTTCTCTACAAATTTCCCAATCATCTTCTCCACAAACCTATCCTCTTCTTCAGTCATAATACTGCTGGACCTAGACGCCCTTCTTGACCTAGTCATTGCTATAATCCAACCTTACCCACAGGGGTTCCAATTACCTTACCGTGTGTGTGTGTATTCACCTAGTTGTGCTTGCGGGGCTTGAGCTCTGCTCTTTTGGCCCGCCTCTCAACTGTCAATCAACACCACAACACACACACCCCAGGAAGCAGCCCATGACAGCTGACTAACTCCCAGGTACCTATTTACTGCTAGGTAACAGGGGCAAAGGGTGAAAGAAACTCAGCCCATCGTTTCTCGCCGGCGCCGGAAATCGAACCCTGGCCACAGGATCACGTGTTCAGCGTGCTATCCTCACAGCCACTGGCACCCCGGTGTGTGTGTGTGTGTTCATTAAGTGCATATTTTAATTATGGGTTTTGGTAAAAATAAACAAGAGGATTTAAAAAAGAAGTTTGTTTATTATATCACTTCAGTACATCTTCGGTCATATATATATATATATATATATATATATATATATATATATATATATATATATATATATATATATATATATAAGCCTATACTTGCATAAACCACAAGTGAAGATATACAATCTTTGGACAACACCCACCAGTGGGACTCGAACCCAGAAAGCACAACTACCTTCCAGTAGCTGGCATAACTAGTATGCTTTAACCCACTACGCCATCAGACCTTACAAAAGAAGTAGATAGTTCGAGATATATATCTCAAACATCTCTACCTCCCGAAGGCACCAGATGAGTGAGGGGTCAGTCTGCATTTTTCGTCAAGCCACTGTCATTGTGAGAGAACTCGTGTCCAGCTTATAAGCCTATAAGCCTATAAGCCTATAAGCTTATAAGCCTATAAGCCTATAATAGGCTTATAAGCTGGACACGAGTTCTCTCACAATGACAGTGGCTTGACGAAAAATGCAGACTGACCCCTCACTCATCTGGTGCCTTCGGGAGGTAGAGATGTTTGAGATATATATCTCGAACTATCTACTTCTTTTGTAAGGTCTGATGGCGTAGTGGGTTAAAGCATACTAGTTATGCCAGCTACTGGAAGGTAGTTGTGCTTTCTGGGTTCGAGTCCCACTGGTGGGTGTTGTCCAAAGATTGTATATATATATATATATATATATATATATATATATATATATATATATATATATATGTCGTACCTAGTAGCCAGAACGCACTTCTCAGCCTACTATGCAAGGCCCGATTTGCCTAATAAGCCAAGTTTTCCTGAATTATTATATTCTCTCTAATTTTTTTCTTATGAAATGATAAAGCTACCCATTTCATTATGTATGAGTTCAATTTTTGTTTATTGGAGTTAAAATTAACGTTGATATATGACCGAACCTAACCAACCCTACCTAACCTAACCTAACCTATCTCTATAGGTTAGGTTAGGTTAGGTAGCCGAAAAATGGTAGGTTAGGTTAGGTTAGGTAGGTTAGGTAGTCGAAAAAAACATTAGTTCATGAAAACTTGGCCTATTAGGCAAATCGGGCCTTGCATAGTAGGCTGAGAAGTGCGTTCTGGCTACTAGGTACGACATATATATATATATATATATATATATATATATATATATATATATATATATTAAGCAATAAAGATATATGGAAAGAGTAAGGGAGGAAGGGGAGAAAGGTCATTGAGGGATATGGCAGTTTCCTAACAATCGCCGGGGAGTCAAAGTACACTTGAAGATGCCACAGTCGCCCCTGCTGTTGGCGCGAAACTCCGCGCGTCGCAGAGGTCCTCAGCTTGTTTGGGACTTAAGAACCCGACCTTCTCCTTCTTCCCCCCCAGCAGACAGTTCTTGGAGATGGTTGATCACTTCTTGGCAACTTGGACTCCCGTTCCCGCCTCCTGCGCCGGTTTTGGAGGTCCGGGGCGGTAGAACACTTCACCGGAGTGGTTGACGAGGAGCTCTCCATCTCCTTGCGCGATGGCAGTCCTCAGGCCAGGGTAGCGGTAGAGGTCGTCGAGGGAGATGTCGTACCCGGCAGTGTTGAGCACTTGGGTGAGGGTGTTGACGCGTTCACTTCGGGTCTGCGGCTTCTGTGGGAGAGAAAATATTTACAGCAGGTGCTGTGGTGGGTAGAGCAGAGTGTATCAAGACCACAGCAACACTTTGTACAGCAGCTGCTGTGGTGGGTAGAACAGAGTGTATCAAGACTACAGCAACACCTGGTACAGCAGCTGCTGTGATGGGAAGAGCAGTGTACCAACTAGGTTCAGGATTTAATACACCTGAATGTTCTTCATTGCCCTAAGTCTATATGTACAACCAGGGTCGAGCTAGGCTCGTAGCCCCCGGCTTCTGAATCTTCTTAGATTAATACAATGTTCTCACACTTCTGAGGGAGTGTTTGTGTGCCTGAGGGTGTGCGTGTGTATGGATTTAACATTTGTATTTATTACTTGTGTCACAAGGATCGAACTGTTAGCTCCTGTACCCCGACTTTCTAACCGTCATTTGTCTTGATTTTTCTCCTCTCTCTCTCTCTCTCTCTCTCTCTCTCTCTCTCTCTCTCTCTCTCTCTCTCTCTCTCTCTCTCTCTCTCTCTCTCTCTCTCTCTCTCTCTCTCTCTCTCACACACACACACACACACACACACACACACACACACACACACACACAAACACACACACATATATCCCAAGAAGCAGCCCGTGTCAGCTGTCTAACTCCCAGGACAGTAAATAAGTAGTTACCTAGCAGTAACTACTTATTTACTGCTAGGTAAGCAGAATCATCAGGTGAAAAAATCTCTGCACATATATTCTGCTTCGGCTGGGAATCGAACCCATAGTCCCAATAACATATTGGGACTATGTTAGCTGTCTTCTAACTCACTGGTAGGTCTCCCATTTCCAGTGACTTGTTATAGACCATAGATAGTGGTATGCAAAGTGCTTCTGCCCCTTCTTTTGGCATCCATGGTGAGATTTCATCAGGTCCAACAGCCTTAGTCACTTCTAGATCATGCAGATACCTCCTAACCTCATCTCTGTTAATTTCAATATCTTCCAAGTCTGCTTAGTTTATTGCCACCCCTCTTAATTCAGGATCTTCCCCTTGCTCTGTTATAAAGACCTCCTGGAATATCTTGTTGAGTTCTTCACACACACCTCTTTGTCATTCTCTATGTACCCATCCTTTTCCCTTTTTCAATTTCATTACCTCTAATTTCACTATTGTTTTCCTCCTGAAGTGACTGTATAGCAGTTTTGGTTGGGTCTTGGCTTATTTGCTATGTCGTCTGCTCTCTGTTCTCTGGTGTCCTGCTATTTCTGTACTTTCTCCATGTCCTTGTGCTTAGCTGTCTTTCTTCCTTACATACCTGACTGAACCACGGGCTCCCCTTTTGCTTTTCTGTTTGTTTTCCTTCTGGCCCGGGATAAATCTGTTTTCTGCCTCCTGACACTTCTGGGTGATGTAGTCCATCATTTTCGTATGTGCCAATAGGCCTTCTGCGGTTACCTTCATTCTTATGCCTTGTTTGGTCTTTCTATTGAGTTCTGTCTCCCATGGTATTCCTGTTAGGAAGTTTCTATTCTCATCTTGAGGTTATCTTGAGATGATTTCGGAACTTTATTGTCCCCGCGGCCCGGTCCTCGACCAGGCCTCCAACCCCAGGAAGCAGCCCGTGACAGCTGACTAACACCCAGGTACCTATTTTACTGCTAGGTAACAGGGGCATAAAGTGAAAAAAAACTCTGCCCATTGTTTCTCGCTGGCGCCCGGGATCGAACCCGGGACCACAGGATCACAAGTCCAGTGTGCTGTCCGCTCGGCCGACCGGCTCCCGGATCATCATAGTTTCCCCTTTGGTATTCCAGCCATTTACTTTTCGGTCCATTCCTTGGATGGCTTAATCCTACTTCCACCAGATACTCAAATGTTAAGACAGTGCCTGGTCACTCTTGGCTATGGTGGGTTCTGACCTGACTTCCCTTATGTCTGACTCGTTCAGGGTGAATACTAGATCTAGTCTGGCTGGTTCATCATGCCCTTTCAGACTTGTGTTTGCGTATTCACCTAGTTGTGCTTGCGGGGGTTGAGCTCTGCTCTTTCGGCCCGCCTCTCAACTGTCAATCAATCAACTGTAACTACTAACTAATTTTTTTTCCACACATACACACATCCCCAGGAAACAGCTCCATAACAGCTGACTGAACTCCCAGATACCTATTTACTGCTAGGTAACAGGTGCATCAGGGTGAAAGAAACTTTGCCCATTTGTTTCTGCCTGGTCTGAGAATCGAACCCGGGACACAGAATTATGAGTCCTGCGCACTGTCCGCTCAGCTACAAGACATCATTTGTGTTTGTGTGCGTGTGTGCGTATGTATGTGTGCATGTGTTAATTCACACACACCTTTTTAAGTGTGTAAGTACATTCGTCATCGTCTTAAGTGTTAGTACATAAGTGTTAGCACACTGATGTACTAACCCCCGAGTAATGCGTGCGTGCATGATAGTGCGTGAGTGCGTGATAATGAGTGCGCATGTCTGCGGGCATAAATTACATATTAAAAGATACAACACAAGGAACAAAAGAATTTCGCGTAGCAAGGCGTTAAACTCACGTTGTTTTGATTCAGGTAGTAGTAGGCCAGGTCCTCAGGGCTGTCCAGACCAATGTTGTATGGGAAGGTGCCAGGCTTGAAGGCGCTCTTGAAGAGTCCGGTCCCGAAGACTGTTGGGGCCGCGGCGCCAGACCTGAAGGCTGAAGGAGGAGATCAGAACGGGGTTATAATCTTTACTGGTTGCGTTGTCTCTCAACCGGATAACAGTGTGATATCCAGTTGAGTTGGACAGAGTGATGGCTCTGTCCATCATTTTCTCTCTCACCAGACACACAGTTGAGAGACGGGACCAAAGCGCCGAAACTCAACCCTCGCAAGCACAACTAGGCGAATACACACTCCCTCAACATTCTGCACCAACACAATAACATTAACAATCAACAAAGTGCTCCAGCACCACTTGAAGTGATCAACACCTCACCATGCACCCGCCTTGATCACCATCCTCACCACCTTCATCCATCTCCATCCTCCTCATTCGTCACCTCAATGAACATCCACCTCCAAGCATTCTTCGTCAAGAACTGAACATGTCCTATTAGCAGCCCCCGGCATCACATCACTTGTATAATCACTCCCAAACAGCATCACTATAACTTGCCACTTTGTCCGGAGACTTACTAGGGGGAAGGTACTCCAGGGAGTAGTCGGCGACGCCCCGCTCGAAGGAGTCGCTGAGGGAGAGATAAAAGAGGTTAAGGGGGTCAAGTTTACTATCAGGAGGTAGAGGTTTTGACCTGACAAGCCGCAGGCCATTGCTATCAGCGACCATCAGCTCAATAAATCAGTATCTTATAAGATAAAGAGCTAAGATGACAACATGGCCCTTATTAATTACATAATACAGGTCTATACAGGATCCCAGGCGGGACACAAATGGGTTTACGTGTTTCCCATTACCCTAATGCCCCTGTTCACCCAGCAGTAAATAGGTACCCAGTAGTCAGTCAGCTGGTTGTGGGGTTGCATTCTTTGAAGGGGGGGGTTACCTTGATATAAGCCTAACATGTATATATACACTGGTTGTCTGTCCCCCGAGACAATGAATTATTATAACTATTATTATGTCAGCAGAAATGGTTCTGTTGACATCATAATACTAATAAAATATTATCTAGTCACCAATAAACTTTGTTTTCTATAAAAATATAGTCATAAAAAATGAAAGTCAGGAATGGGTAACAATACTAAATATTAAAATTTCACTAAACAATCTGTTTGATTGAATCGCAGTCCAAATAACAACGTTATTAATTTAATAAAAAATAAAGCAATGTAATAATATAGTTAACAAATTATTGTATGGAAATAGGGTAGCCATTCAGGCTTGTCAACTTTCCGCCCCCAACAACGTCAAAAGTGGTCCACTAGGTATAATGGACATGAATTTCATAGGACTATATGAATAATTAATAATTCATTTTATCGGGGACAGGCAGCTTTTATTCGTTACGTTAGACTTATACCGAAGTTTCCCTCAGGGTCAGACTACTGACCTTCCCTAGTATGCAGCCCCACAACAAGCTAACTAACTTCTATTTACTGCTAGGTAAATAGTCATTAAGTCACAGGAAACATGCCCAACCCACTTAGGTCCCACTTGGGATGCGAACCCAAGATTTCCCTGATTGCAAATCGAGAACGAATCATACATAGATGCCCTAATCACCTTCTCAATGCTAACCAGCATTTCACAAGCGTACATGTTGAGTTTGCAAAGCGGCAACCCACCTAATTATCAGTACCTTAATAAATGCTTTAGTCAATAATTTACATACTTGATAATTACTTTACTAAAAATATAATTCGGTCGTGTCATATAAACATGTAGGTTTTGCGTCAAAATATCAACAATACGAAATATTTACACGTTAATTAGCACAGTCGTTTGTTGACGCGTTTCATACCCAGCTGAGACGGGGCGGCGCCGCCATACCCCGCGCGGACACCTCGGCCCCCACCACAACACCTTAACGCATTGTTGCTGTGTGCTGAGCAACTGTTGTGTTGACCGAGGCTGTGTGCTGACCGAAGCTGTGAACTAAGCGAAGCTGTGTTGAGCTAGGCTGTTGTGTTGACCGAAGATGTGTGTTGAGCTAGGCTGTTGTGCTGACCTAGGCTGTGTGTTGACCTAGGGTGTTGTGCTGAAACTCTGGACTGACGATGCTGTGTGTTGTCGCATTCTGTGCCCAAAACAGTGCTCTGAGCTGCACAATTTTTGAAAATTCGGGGCTATTATTTATTTTTCTTTAGTATGCTGTTTGCTGTGTTGACAACACTGACAGTTGCTGTGCCGAATGCTGTGAATTAGAACAATATTACTCGTGCCTAAGGCTAGGCTAGAGGTTAAGTTGCTGTGAATTCTAACACAACTCAAGTGTTGTTTTGCGGTGAAATGCTTGTGCGATTTGCAAAATGAAAGATATTTAACAGTGAATTTTCAACAGATAGTTCAATAAGTGTTCATTATTTTAGGAACGTTAAAGTGATCATTCCCACTCAAATAGTCTTGAAAGTGCTGATGGGAACGTGCCTTTTCTACTGAATTTTCTTTGAACCGATTTTGTGGCATCTTTGACAGTGAAAGGCACTGGTGGAGATATATTATAACACTGACAAAGTCAAATTAACCGAACATTTCAATACTGGAAAAGATTCTTTTACGAAGCATTTGTTACATATTCCGCAAGCTGCACATGGTGAGGCTGCTGACAAGGAAATTTAACCGTATAGAATTAACATTTGCACATACACACGTCTCCGTGGAAGAGCTCTGAGATCTCGGTAATGTTAAAAGATGTCTTACCAGCACGTTGCTCCAAGGAACCACGACGATCCACATCAGAGAATGTCAGCAAAAAATGTCATAATTGAGTGACTAGGCTTCTTCGGCTCAAGGTAAGACTGCATTCTCCGTTGATTTGTCAGTATTTACCTAAGGGGCCACCATCTCTCAAGTGGCTTACTAAGTGTACAATACCTTGCCATGCTTTGTACTATAAGCATGAATATCCTGAATTCATTCTCTATGAAGAATACGAGAGAAATGTCATGGTCAGAGCAGACGCTGCTGCCCACTTGCGTGTTGCTGCGTTTCATGCTTGGTGTAAACCGATCAGGTTGGACTTGGCTCGTTAGTCATGCAACAATTTAAGGTTCAAAGGTTCATTTAAAGGTTTAAGGTTCATTAAACAAGTAAGTCATGACCTTATGATAGCCTTACGAAATATGACACTACTTCCTACCGTTCAAATTTTCTCTTTCGGAGCCTATTGCAGGGGCTCTATTCCCCACTATTCCTCGAAGCCTCTGCTTCCCACTATCTCAAGCGGTTGTTCCTCGAGTCCTCTGCCACTAACCACTCCCTCGTGTAGGTCCACCTCGAGGCCTCTACCACTACACTCCCTCATGTCGGTCCTCATCTAGACCTCTACTATCCGCTGCCTCACGGTTGTGTTAATTTTCCTAATGTTACTCATATATTCATCCTCCCCACCGTCTTCCTCATTCCTCCCTCACAACCCCCCCCCACCGTATCACCCACCAACTCATCTCCCTCCACCCCTGTTGAGTCACCACTCCAACACATTCGATGAGTACTTACTCCCTGGTGTAGACGAAGCGGCCGCCTTGGGCCAGGGGAGAGGCAGACGCCGCTGCCGCCACAACAGCAAGCACAACCTGGAAAAAAGTAGAACAAATATACATTTTTGCTTGCTCCGATAGACAGTAAAAAGTATACAAAAGAAAAAAGACGTGAATACCATTGCCTGCATCTTTTCGATAGTTTGAGAAAAGGTCATTTGCCCTTTTTTTGTGGTCTGACAATTTCCTGTAGTCTGACTGCCTCTTATATAATATATACAGGGTTGAGTTTCAGCTCCTGAGACACGGCTTTCCGTCTACTGGTTCACTAATACAATGATACAGTCTCTCCATCATGCAGGCGATGAGTCACAATAACGTGGCTAAATTATGTTGACCAGACCACACACTAGAAGGTGAAGGGACGACGACGTTTCGGTCCGTCCTGGACCATTCTCAAGTCGATTCAACTTGAGAATGGTCCAGGACGGACCGAAACGTCGTCGTCCCTTCGCTCTCCATCATTTCGTATTTACACTATATTTTGACCACAGACTGTTCATAGTTAGTGGTCACACTGTTCATGGTCTGTGGTCACACACTGTTCATAGTGTGATATAGTCTCATTATTATTATTATTATTTCAGAATGAACAAGTAAGTTAACATTATAGTAAGCATTAAAATTATTCTACTAGTTCGTTTAGTGTTGTGATGTTACTAGTTTACAACCGAGAGGTTTATGGTTTAATTTCTACGGCAGTACCGACACATTTGGGCAACGGTTCCTTTCATCTAATGTACCTGTTCACCTGGGAGTAAGTAGGTGTGTGGTAGTAGGCAGTTATTGGCTAAGGGACACTTCAATAAGTTTTTCCTGTGCCCGACAATGCAAAGCCTCATCGAATTATTAAAGTATTATATGCAAATTGAGGCCAATTATCAAAACAAACAATAGCGTAATAATAAGCTAACAAATATATAACAACCAATGAAGCTAACGATAGGTAACGAATGAGTCAGCTCTAACAATAAACACAAAAATTTATATACAAAAAAATATTCAAAATCTTTAAAAAAAAATGGAATTGAACATAAAAAACAAGATTAACTTCTGGCAATAGGACGGGGGACTAAAACACGAGAATTTACATCCTGGGACGTCATTTTAAATACGTCAATAAATTCTGACCAAAATATTCACGTTTCAAATATATATTTTAGGAGGTAATAAACGTGGTTTTATCCCGACTTAACGAAATTCGGACTGAGTGATTTACTCGTTCCTTAAACAGGGAAAATTACTGAATTGATCATAAACGCAAAATTTACATCAGGCAATTACTTTTCACGTTAATGTTAACTGTTTCGTTCTCTAACTGAAAATCTAGGATCCCGGGTTCGATTCCACAATGGTATAGATAGGGTTGGGTATATTTTCTTTCACTTAATGTCCCTGTTCACCTAGCAGCAAGTAGGAGTTAGTCAGCTTGTTATGGGATTGCATCCTGGGCTGGGTCTGTAATTCGACCTTGTGGGGGAGGGGGACCTAGATAACAGCCTAACGTGTATGAATACACTCTGGCTTCCTGTCCCCCGACACAGTGAATTATTATTATTATTATTATTATTATTATTATTATTATTATTATTATTATTATTATTATTATTATATAACCCAGTCCACATATGAAATGAAAGTGACGAAATTTCGGTCAGTCTGTGACGTATTTGACAACGGTTCGATCCGTTCTGGAGTCTAATGTGACGTATTTGACAACGGTTGGTCCGTCCTGGAGCCTAATGTGACGTATTTGACAACGGTTGGTCCGTCCTGGAGCCTAATGTGACGTATTTGACAACGGTTGGTCCGTCCTGGAGCCTAATGTGACGTATTTGACAACGGTTCCATCCGTTCTTGACCCTTATCAAGTAACTTGATAATGCAAATACTCGCATATGTAAAGAAAATTGTATCGTTCAAGAAAATAGGCTCTGATTCTCATGCGCATTAAAGTAGTTCCTTAACGTTTAATATTGGAAAATAGATGTTGTATCTCAATAGATATCTATCTCACACGCCTATTCCCAAAGACATTATTGTAACTGACTATTAAGGGAGACAATTGAGTACTCACTAGGCCTATCATCCTGGTGGTGGGTAATGGTAGATGAAGCGACGGTAGGCTGTCAAACGACGCAGTTAGAGGTGTGGAGCGACGGGTTATGGCAGGAGAGGCAAGTCCTCCCTCTTATATACCCGGTGTTGGGAACCTGTTCCCGTTTTTTGTGTGCGCCGGTCCTGTGCGCATCTCTGAAGATGTTACCGAGGATGAGTTTTTTTTCTTACCTCTTCGGTGTTGCATCTTAAGATGCTGTTGTTGTTTTAGATTTAACTACTGGGAATAAATAGTTGCAAGTAGCACGGGCTATGGTGAGCCCGTAGGGGACTTACCTGGCACAGGAGCGGAACTGTAATTGGGTACCTTGTGAGTTGGGTATATTAATTACATGGGTGTGTTTTGCTGTGTGTGTACTCACCTAATTGTGCTTGCGGGGGTTGAGCTTTAGCTCTTTGGTGTGTGTGTGTGTGTGGTGAGATATCGTAGCGTGGTTTTAGTGAATTAGGTTGATGGTAATGGAGGGAGGGTCTGTGAGAGATGTGAAGGGGGTGGGGTTTAGGGGGGTTGTGAAGGGGGGGGGGGGTGACTGTTAGTGTGGGGGTGGGGCTGGGGGTGGTAAGGTTAGAGGGCGTTGCAGCAGCCATGATTTATAAGTAAAAAACTTGCCAATTGTGAAGCCTCACCTGGCTTCCTCACTCCACCCCATCCTGCCGTGTCCACCCCCATCCTGCCGTGTCCACCCCATCCTGCCGTGTCCACCCCATCCTGCCGTGTCCACCCCCATCCTCACTCAGCCCGTGTCCTCACAATAAACCAATTAAACTAATCTAGAATGAGTGTGTGCACAAACAAGGCCTTAGACTGTATGCTAACTGTAACCAGCTCATCAGTGATGTAACTTGCTAAGTTAAACTAATATTAGGCTTCAAGTCTGGAGGTCATTATGTAACACTGTAACACTGTAGCCTCTCTCCATCACTACTCACAGGCTGGGATTGATGACATCTTCCTCAATCACAATATTGATGCATTAAACTGGATCTACCACGAGCTTTATAATGCAACAGGCCTTTGTTCTGGCAATTCACCTCTAATTACCAAACTACTAACACCCCCTAACAATCTCCAAGGACAACGTCACAAGAATAAATGTATTTAACAACTATCAAACAGCAATTTAACTCTAACAATTTTTAATCACTGGATCAGCTCACATATCCAGTTACAGTAAATTATTTATATTTGAATAATAAAATCATGATAATTAAATGTAATCTATTCGAGAATATATTTCATTAGTCTGAGGCTTCTTTGTCCATATTTAGTGTGGGGTTTTCTATTTTCCTTTCCCGACTGCAATGCGTACGTCGCCAATGTACATGTGGCGGACGCTTCACAAAGCTGTCGGAATCAGCAGAGAAAATACGAGAGCAACCGTACAGGGCCTGGGAGCAAGGTCAAGTTAGAGTCCTTGAGGGTCTCTTCTCAGACTAGCCTCACCTGGTCCTGGTCCACGTTGATCGTTGGAATCTCCTCAATGCTTTAACACTTTAAGGGACTCCTAGGGTCCTCATCACATTTATAGTTTGTGACTTATAGGCAACTCGGTATTGAAGACACTTAGAGCTGAAGGCTTGAGTAATGTTGGCAGTATTCAGAAGTGGTTCAATGGAAACACTGCATAAAGCTTAACAGTAGTTTATTTACTAACTTAACGACTAATACAAAGGCTGCTTGAATTACTTTAGATTGGCATCAGAAAGGCCAATAGGTTGCATTAGCAAGACTCTTGTCGTCTGGCTTTCGATTCGTATCCACTCGTGGAGAAACACCTAACTTAACACAGTTGACAGCCAATCATTAACACGGCAAACCTAACTGCCGGTATGCAAAGGGATTACAAGAGTTCCAACCGAATACTCAGGTAATGATGATGCACAATAAAACTGTCAATGGGACCGGTAATAACATGCACAATAATATCACACAATAACTAAAGGTGTGGTGTATGTGAAGCTCACATTCACAGACGAGTGTACTGCCACTGGCGGTGAGTAAGGGTGGTGAAGTCACATAGTACAGTGAGGGGCGGCGGCTGGCGGATCGAGGCTAGGCTAGCTACACGCTCTGGACCGAGTGGCGGCTGATTATGATACCATGCAGGTACACTATGGCAAAAGTCATACACAGATTACTTAGGCGGTGGCACTGCCTTAGTTCACTCTAGGTCACTCACAGATGATCTTAATTTGTCACCAGGGGTTACCTGATACCAATCTGTTTTGCTCTGATGATTTGTCACTAGGCTTCTAAACAATATAGTCATGATCTCCATTCTGGGCGAACGTTGGTACAGGTATATCGAAAAGACGCTGATTTTAAATTGATGGTTTGCGGGGACACTAAAGCCCCGAAATCATCTCAAGATGGTGAGGAATGGACGGTGTTCAGTCTATTGGCCGATAGACAGAACAGGACACGTCCTCTATGTAAGGGCTTTCTCACATGAATGCCCTTCCCTGGGGCTCAGGGCTCCTCGAGGGACACAACACAAGGGGTTACAATTTGACCAATGGCATTGCAGCAAAAGAGCGGGACTCAATTATATTGATTGTTCCCTGATCAGTAGCAGAGGTGACATCATGAACATGTCACGACCGCATCACAGTTGTTATTCTCCATCGCACTGGTTGAGGCTGACCCCAGAGGTCAGATCTGTCGCTTCGCTGGCGTCCCCTCTCTTCTCTCTCACGCTGGCAACTCCTGTGTACTCACTGACCCTTGTGGCAGGTATTCTTAACTTCCCTGTATCTACTTCCTGCCTGGACATACGGCATCCTCTGTATCATAAACGTATTCCTGGTTAAGTGGGCATCCTGGAGCAGCGCGTCCTCCAAAAATGGGGTGGTAAATGTAAGAAGACAAATAAGTGCAATTATGTACTATTCATAGCATTTAGGAATTGTACTTATTTTCACTTAGTATTAAATCGTACTGTCAAATATATTGTGAATATTTGAGTTTACCTGAAAAACTGAATAGAAAACCACAACCTCACCTAACCGTCTTAGTTTTTGAAGATAATAATTTTATTGTTTCTTAATTACAATTAGTACTTAACCTATAGCTATATTGATATTACAGTTTTATAAAACTAATAAAACAAAACTAAAATATATCACTAAATTGTAAAGTAACTCAGGATATTTTAAAATTTTGCATAAAATCTATATTGTTTAATAAACCTGAAAAATAAATTCCTGTTATTTAAAACTTGTGTATAGCCAATTGAAGTTGAAATCTTCATCCTAAAATTCTGAGTGTCGTCACAGAAAACGAGGAGAATTAAATCGGGGGAGGGAGTTGGGTAAGTGTAACAGCCCCGTAAGTGCAATTATGCACTGTTTATGACAGTAAGAAAGTGTACTTATTACACTTAGTATTAAATCGTACTGTCAATTCGGAGGATGGGTTGCCTGGAGATACCCAACATGACAGTTTACTATCCAGGGTTAACAGAGATAGGGCTTGTGCACAAGATCGGTGCACTGTGCACTGCAATGAGCCATTCAAGTCAGCTGTGGGATAATCTTGAGAGACCATTCTCTCAGTGTTAACCCTGGATAGTAAACTGTCATGTAAACTTTACTTAGAGCGAAAAGTTGTTTCCTGTGTAATACGTCAGGATATAAGGAAACTTCTTCATATAATTTTTATTTTCCTAGAGAAGCAGACGTTTGGTAAGGTCACGGCCAGGTGAGTCTGTTGCCCCTTGTCTCTCTCTCTCTCTCTCTCTCTCTCTCTCTCTCTCTCTCTCTCTCTCTCTCTCTCTCTCTCTCTCTCTCTCTCTCTCTCTCTCTCTCTCTCTCTCTCTCTCTCTCTCTCTGTGCCACAGCAACTGTCAAAGGACTCATTAACACTCTTGGGGTCCGGTGTAAAAAGTCTGGAGAAAGAGTGCATGGAGCATGGAAGCCAGAGGGTGAACAAGCCCACGAAGGATAGGAGGAAAAAATTGAATTTAGGAATTGCCGGATGATTTATGCAAACGTTTGGGGTAGTCACAAGGTGTAAACTCAGTGTTGTGTATTTATTTCAGTGTTTATACACAGGTTGGTGTAGTCTGCTGAAGGGTATATACGCGGAGGTGTAGTATACTTCTCAGTGTTAACACACAAACAAATGTATGCTTTCAATGTATATTCACAGAGAGGTGTATATTATGCTTCATTGTATGTACACAGAGAGGTGCAGCGTACCTCTTTAAGAGTGTAGATACCGAGAAGTATAACCTGTTTCTCTGTGTATATACACAGAAAAGAGGAGCCTATCTGTCAGACTATACAACACAGAATCAGAACCTATCTCTCAGAGTTTATTCCCAGAGAAGAGGAGCCTATCTTCCAGAGTACATATTTATTTATTTATTTATATACAAGAAGGTACATTGGGGGTTAAGAGAGAACATAGAAATGAAGCTGATTTTCCATTCTTGTAAAGCCACATACTAGCACGCATAGCGTTTCGGGCAAAAAACATACAAATACAAAAAATAAATACATATACAAGAGTAGCCTATCCCTCAGTGTATATACAGTGATGGGAGCCTTAACCCTAAACTGTTTTACGTACATGTCATTTCACATTATTGCCTCTAGCAGGCGGTAAATGTTAAACCATTCAAGTGAAAGCCTCATGCAACGTTTTCGATGATTTTGGCGGCAAAGACTGTTTATTGTGTTTACAAACATTTACAAAAGTTTCTCTCAGGCCTATACTTATCTATAAGTCCCTCTCAGATCTCTAGGTTTCCTAACTCGGTTAGATTAAGTTAGTTTGGATAAGGTTAGGTTGAGTATGGCTAGGAGAGGTTAGACTCAGTTGGGATAGGTTAGGTAAGGTTAGATTAGGTTGTGTTAGACTCAGTTGGGATAGGTTGGGGTTGTCAGGGGTTAGATGACTTGTATCTACAATTACTCTCCATTCTGTACCTATAGTTGATGTATATCTCGACTGGTCTTTATATCTAGGCACAACCATTAAGCTGCTAATGATGTTGTTGACGCTGTCTGAAGTCGACGTTTGCAAACATAAACATTGAAGATAAGAGAGACAAAGATGAGAGTTGAGAGAGAGAGAGGAGAGAGT